GGGGGGGGGGGGGGGAGTGTGTGGGAGAGAAACTTTGGGATTGTAGCCTTTGCAGACCATTTACATGCACAAAGAGATAATACTACAGGTAAGGGAGAACCCCGAAAGCATTATAGGGTTTCTTTGAACAATTACATTTTTGCAACGATCTCTGACAGCCAATCATCCTATACCGTCAGACTTCCAACCTGATCTCCTCTCTTTGCACACCTTTTCATTTCAGACATATAGATGCGGCCCTCTTACAACCATTCCACCCCCAGTGCCAAGATTAAGCTCATTAGAAGTCCACTCCTGATCTTCAGCAACCTCTTCCTTAATACCCAGGGGGGGGGGGGTTCTTATTCTATTTAAGGCTGCACCTCCCCCTCAAGATATATGATATCATGGTGGGGTCTAATCCCCAAAGACTATTCACATTTCCATCGTCTTGTGCACATGGAACATTTCTCTGCTGCTTAACCCCTAAATGGTTTATGTATCCTGGGGGATACAGTCATTTGAAAGGCTGTGTCCAGGTGTAAAATGGGTGTAATACCAGTGTAATTATAGTGTATTTGTATCATGGGTATATTATTGGTGAAGTATACAGGTGTAATAATGGTGTAACATGGGTGTAATAGTGGTGTATTAATTTGTAATGTTGGTGTAACAACAGTGTAATATGGGTGTAAAAACGTTGTAATATGGGTGTAAAAACGTTGTAATATGGGTGTAATAACAGTGTGTCATGGGTGCAATAATAGTGTAACATGGGTATAATAAGGGTGTAATACAGGTATAAAAATGGTGTCGCGGGTGTAATCCGGGTGCAATAGGGGTGTATTCTATATTTTATATGGGTGTAATCAAAGTGTTATATGTGTATACCTGAATGTAGAAAATAGCAATCAATGAATTTTCCAAAATACTTATATGTGATTGTCCCTTAAGGGTTGAAAGAGCCCAAAGATGAACTCACCTCAGTGGGAGTGACCATGGGTTGCCCTGGTCTCACTTCCTGTCCGTTCTCAGTTTGCTCCTCTACCAGGGCCTTCTTCTGTCCTGCCTCCTCACCTGCCTCCCCATCCTCCCTTTTGGGGTATATGATGTTAAATGTGAAGCCCATCCTGCCAGTGTTCCTCAGCGTCACGTCCGCCTCCCCTTTGTGATCAAACAGCTGGAGAAGAAAACACTGCTTTTTAAACTGTCAGCAGTTTTATTCTCATTGAAAAGAATGTGAATCAGCTTTATGCTAAACAGAAGGATTTGGTCAAACCATGCCCCCTAGTGTCTTTAAGGCTGTGTATAGAGGTGACAATGCAGGAAAAAAAGCTTTCTAAAGAAGCATGCAAGATGATGGCCTCAGTTTGAACTCTGCGGTTCATGATAATAATTATCATGACAATATATTCATAAAGAAAATTAACAGAAGATAAGGAGAACAATGACATTTGTATTTAAAGCGTTAAAAGTGAAAGAAAGTAAGACACAGAGAGATGACAAGAAAAGCGATTTCAAAGAGTGTCACTTGGGCATGCATGAAGGGGAGTTGTTTCAGTATTTGATTTATATCAACAAATCTAATTGACCACAAGAGAAGAACACAGGGCAACAGGGATGGAGAGAGACAACAATAGAGAAAAGAAAGCAGGAGAAATAATAGTGATGAAGGGACAGGAAGGTCAGTGAGATGTTCTGCTGAATCGCTCATTTCAACTAAATCAAAAATCAATATGTCCTTGTTTTGAATATCAATGATAGCCGGTCCCAACGGTTTGCATACTTAAAGAGGGATTGGGAGCACAAAAGACCAAAGTGGGAAAAACTAAGCAGTGACATTCAGATTTAATGTGATCCCTCTCACCTTCTTTTGTCTAGTGAGTGAAATAAACCTTTACATAACCTTTAATAAACGTCTTTATACAATGTGCATCCTAATGATCCTTATACACCCTCAGCATTAGATTATCTGATCATAAAAAGTAATGGGAAAGAAATGACATCCTAGTGAAAACACTAACAGTAAGCAAAAGCTAATGATCATGAAACAAACTGTAAATGCAGCAAACACATCTTCATCTGCAATTACTAACACATCTGTCATTGTACCCCCAGGCCTGTCATTTTGAAAATGTTGGAATGCATCACAGCCAAAGATTTGTCATTAGATTTGTATGAAGTATAATCTGTCACACACGGATGAGCAAACAGATGGCCAAAGAAGAACAAGGATAAGAAAGGCAGGGTGACAGTACATCAAGATGGGGAATTAACACAAGATAATGTAGCTTAAAACAAAGGAGAGTTTCACATCACGGCCACTATCCTAGCGTTAAAGGGGCCCTGCTCATTTTCAGGTTCATATTTGGATTTGTGCCTCTACTGCAACATTTCATATACTTTCATTTACTGTCACAGTTACGACTGGTATTATGTTTACCACCCTCTGTCTGAAACAAAATCCCAGTCTGCTCTGATTGGTTAGCTGGCCTGCTCCGTTATGATTGGTCAACAGCTTAAAGATGTCCCGCGGCTCCGCCCCTTAACACTGTACAATGTGTTGGAGAACTCTCCAATAGAAACAAGAGCTTGTATCGGTTAGGGTCATCTGAATAAAAGTGCTTTATCGTTGGATAAGCAGCTTCATTTGGAACATTAGCAAGGACAAATGTTTAATGCTACTGACTAGGAAACAGATGTTTAACACAACAGTCACTGAAGATAATGGTCCAATTCCAAGATGAATCTTACACCCTCATACTATAACTGGGATGAACTCGCCTATGAAACTATGCTTTCTGCTGGAAAAAGAACATAGTTTTGTAAAAATGAAATCCGGTTTTTAAAAACTCTTTGTGTCAAATCTGATGTTAATGAGCTACTTGTTGGAGGGTTTAATAACTCCCTCTCCACACTAGTTGATTTGGAATGGCACTTAATGTAGGGGTTGGCTTGGTAATTTATACCTGGCCACTAAATCAATCTATATATATATGCCATTAATAACTGTGTAATTTATACCTGGCTGCTAAACCCTTGTTACTGTTACAAGGTATGTATCTTGTATTTTACGCGTCGATGAAGGCCCAAAATCGTGCGCGTGACACCCGGGGATATTGTTGTCTCGGTCGGTCGATTGGTTAGCTTGTCAGACGCCGAGAACGCGAAAAGTCTGTCTCCCCACTTTCTCCGAACGACGTCGTGTCCGTCATACTCTGTCGTTATTTCTCGAAAAACTTGTAACTTCGTACATTTGTACAGCGACATCTCCGTGTTTACTGTTTATACTTGGAGTTTGTAAACTTATTATACATATTGCTCTCGTTAGAGATTGTAATTACGTGCGGTATATTGCAGTAATAGCGGTACGTTTTGTCTTTGGAACGCTATGAAAGGTTACTGTTTACTGTTACACCGACCTTCGTTTCTTTTGTCCTATCTTTATCTTGTATCCTCGGGCTCCGTTAAACCACGTGTATATTTGTTATATACGAAATACGAGTAAAACCGCACAACCAACGCATACACAATGAGATGATGGAGATCATAAGAAACCTCCGAAAGTTAAGAGAACCTTCTGTCAAAGTATCATAAACATAACGGAGCATATTAATCAAACCGGGGACAAACAATAGGTAAACCTCAGACCAATGCGTCGGATCCACAGCAACACGCCTTTTATGTTGAGTCATATGAAGTACCTACAATAACCGAAATAATAATAAAACGGAAGTGTCCCCTGTGTCTCCGTACACCTCTTTCTCTTCCTCGGTCTCGGTTAGGTCTTTTAGGCGTGACCTCTTCCGTCCTCAAGGAGATCGCTGCGCAAGAGCCACGTGAGAAAGCCAAGGGAGCCCGGTGTCCGGAAGACGGTCTACTTCTCTCGACGTTTGTCGCGGGACACCCGGGCACCTTCTCCATCCGTTACGGGAGTACAACATTGTTTATTACCAAAGAGGACTCTAAAAAGTCAACAGTCCCTACCAGTCGTCGGCCCACCGGATCAAGTAAGGGAAAGAGATATGAGCAGAGACGGCCCTCCTTCTTTGTAATTTAAATGGTCACCACATTACATTAATCGCATTAAATGAGTTTAAACATTAATTCATTTTACAAGCTCCATGAAATGGACTCAGAAAAAAACAATACGATTGAAGTATGATGAGAAGAGAGTAAAGGCTCCGGTTATAGGTAATTATAATGAAGTGATGTAAGAATTTGTCGAAATCAAAGAAAATGTCTAAGTCTAGAATCGATTATGTTTTCATTTTGTAGTATTATAATTTATTTGTAACTGTTTATATGTCACACAACATGTTCGAGGAGTCGAGATGTTGATATCACCGCGAAAGAGGAAACGTAAATTGGGACTGTGCGAAACAGATCAAACCACCCACAAGACTTTACGCGCGGTACATACCGTATTGTTCTTAAAGATATGAACCCCGTGAAATCCTATAAAACTTCGGTTAAATTTTACACATGGTCGTATAAAAACTTACGTACGTAATAAGAACTTGTCTCATAAAATTTTACAAACATAACAATGAAATTGAATCGAATTTTTAGCATAAGATGTGCCGTGTAGAACGGTAATTTTGAGGTACACCCTCTAAAAGAGAAGACAACGAGTGGAACGTCTTATAGAAAGATGAGAGCAATATGGAAACTATATTATGTTACAGCTCTTAAAGTAAGACTTCAGATTTTCTCGCAGTAGTAACACATAAAGGAGTAAATATTGTGACGGACGGATTTCACCTGACTTGGTCCGTTCTGTACAGGTCGGTGGTTTTGTGTCGAATTACGAAAATTGTGTAAGTTTTTAGTCTTTTGTCTGGAGAAGGAGAGCATTGAGTAACTGTTTCTCAATATCCTAGTTCAGGGTTTTTTTTTTGAAGGGAAAAGCCCCTCCCAGTGATAACCGTCTTAGAAATAGAATAATAGCATTCAAGTGAAAAAAATGCAGAAACACAGACATCCTACAAGCTATAGAACGGCTATATGCCAGTAACGTTGGACCCCTTTGTCGTCGTCCAGCAAAAGAGAAAAATGCCGGTGCTTTTACAGTCGTCTCTCCACCACCGTGCGACGGTTACACCTCCTACCCGGTTGCATACTTCACTTTGAGTCCCCTCTTCGAAGCCACTATCGATGTAGGACTGAGATGTGTATAACTAAACCAGACGTCATACAATAGGACGTGTCAAGAGGTAATTAGATGTATATAGAGTAGAATAGGATTGGTCGAGGTTGTTAGTCTTAGCCTAGTCTTATGGGAAACTATCAGGGTCGTCTCCCCTTTAAAACGTCGCAATGTCGTCCTTTCTCGGTGTCTGCGAATCACAAGTCTTGTTGATTTCATGATTCAATGTTTTATTATTTGTTTGTTGTGTTGTTATACAATATATTACAATGATTCAAATATTATAATATTTTATACGTTTTTTTCTATTTTTGATTTTTTCAATGTCATTAAAAGTTTTTATGTACTAGTTTTTGTTTAGTTTAGAAGCTTAGTTTAGGAACATCGACAATAATCCGTCGGACATATATAATGTCCAATAATTTCCTACCGTATACATATATTTCATATAAACGTGTATTTCGTGTATACGTGTATCAAACTGCCATCCAAAAATTGTCGTCGTTCAAT